GAGGTGCGCATGAAAGTGGCCTCCATCACCGAGCAGGTCTTGACTCTGGTGAACAAGCGTCTCGGTCTGTACCGCCACATGGACGAAGTTGTGAACCGCTACAAGCAGTCCCGCGATACCGGAGCACTGAACAGCGGCCGCAAGACCCTGGAGGCCGAACACCGCACCCTCACCAATGACATCACTGCACTACAAGCCCGTCTCAAAGCAGAGGGCTCCGATCTGGCTGAAAAAGTAGAGTCTTCAAAAAGCCCAACATCTTTCAAAATGCCGCTGCAAGCTCTAAATGTTTGCTGCAATCAAAATCATCATCAAGTTTGATTTGGTGATTTACCACTACTCTGTTGTTCTCCCCAGAAATATCCACGTGGACACTCCCTACCCCCTCACACGCAGTCAGGACGAGCTGCATTACACTTACCTGGACACCTTCGGCAGACCTGTGCTGGTGGCCACCAAGAGCAATCTGGTGGAGCAGCACATTCAGGATGTTGTGGTAAGCTAAGGCTTGCATGGAAGACTTGCAACAGGGTCATTTTAAAAGGTGTTAAAGGGGTCATATGATGCGATTTCATGTTTTCCTTTGTCTTTGGAGTGTTAATTGCAATGGAATTGAAGTGCATGTAAAGTTGTTACAAAGTGCCAAAAATGCTTTGCGGTGACAATGTCAGCAAAAGTGTGCTTGTTCAAAAAGTGAGCCATTTGAGTAACCCCAAAAGTCTTTCCCATTAGGTTCACTACACCTTCAATAAGATCCTGATGCTGCAGGAGCCTTTGTTAGTGGTGGGAGCATTCTACATCCTCTTTTTTACTGTCATCATCTACGTGCGCCTCGACTTCTCTATCACAAAGGTGCGTCTGGAGCACACAGTATTTTTGAAGTGACCCAAGGTGTCACACTTAACTAAGCTGTCTGTTTCCTCATTTCCTCCATTAGGATCCAGCAGCAGAGGTGCGCATGAAAGTGGCCTCCATCACCGAGCAGGTCTTGACTCTGGTGAACAAGCGTCTCGGTCTGTACCGCCACATGGACGAAGTTGTGAACCGCTACAAGCAGTCCCGCGATACCGGAGCACTGAACAGCGGCCGCAAGACCCTGGAGGCCGAACACCGCACCCTCACCAATGACATCACTGCACTACAAGCCCGTCTCAAAGCAGAGGGCTCCGATCTGGCTGAAAAAGTAGAGTCTTCAAAAAGCCCAACATCTTTCAAAATGCCGCTGCAAGCTCTAAATGTTTTTTGTGTCTCCATCTGCAGGTTGGTGAGATACAGAAGGTGGACAGCCAACTGAAGGATCTGGTGTGCAGATGCTGTCAGGAGGCTGAACGGCTGGTGGCTGGAAAGGTGAAGAAGGACACCTACGTCGACTCGGATAAAACCCTGTCAGGCAAGAGGCAAGAGCTGGTCAGCCGCATCGACAGCCTTCTGGATGCCTTGTAAATCAAACATCAGAAATCCAGTCTTCAGCCGGGCCATGAAACAGTCACCGTCCTCAGAAACCGTCACACACACTCGGACTGGACTGACGGATCAATACTGTACACTCACAAACAATATGCATCATTCTGTGAACATCATGTTTGTGCCTTCGTAGGACATGAAAGTGATCTTTGCAGGATGTGCATGTGGTTTTGTTTTGCTGAATGTGTGTGATTGGAAGAGGATTTTGTGTGAATCTTTTTTTTTTTTTTTAAGTTTTAAGTTTCTGAATGTCAAATGCAGTCTTCATTCACACAATCCAGCAGACTGGTTCCTTTTAATATTCGTTTGCAGTTTTGGAGTTGGGTTTGAATTGAAATTAGCTCTACAACTCTCACCTGAAAAATGTCTGCACTTATTGTTTCCAAAAAAAAAAAAAAAAAAAAGAGTCCGAGATAAATTATCTGCCCTGTCCTAAAACATAATTATGGGACATCAGATGCTGAAAAGGTTGCCGCTGATATTCTCGTGGTTGCAAATTTTCTATTGGGGTTTTATTTCTCACATTTTTGTGTGATTTTCGTTTTTTGTAAACGATGCATTTAATTTCTACAGTGAATGGCATGAATGAGATTGATTTTTGTACGCCAAGTGTAAATGTGACAGATTTTGCTGGTAAAACATGTTCAGGCCGTGAATAAATAAGGTGTGAAACCGGACCTGTGATGTGAATTTTTTAATTTACTGTAACTGTTTGCAAATTAAAACATTTCTACTTCAGGCCAGAAGACACCTGACATTTCATCTAACTAAAAAAAAATTAGCTTCTATAATTACTCTCATTGTTTCAATTAAATATTTTTTCCCATTACAAACAATATATTTGAGCTGTGTCTTGTTCTTAAGCAAAACTGCAAGCGTGTGAAATTTTTCGGATGCAAGAAATTGACGCTTGAATACTTTGCAACACAAGATATCACAAAGTTAATTTGGTACTTTTACAGTGTAACTTTTGGTTGTTTATGTATGTAATCGATAAAGCACAATATTAAAAAAAAAAAGCCCTGGTTTTTAAATATTGCCGCTACATTGTCAGAAGATCTCTCTTTCTCTCTTTGTCTCTGATAAAGCCCTTTTTAGCAAAAGGCTCACAGTTACCAATCAGGTCTGTTTAGAATTTGCATATTCCCAAAACTTAATTCAGTCACATAGTATGAAGTCTAAATATTCTTGCTTTTTGGTATATATTTGTAGCTCATGGTTTGGTCTGTTGGTGAAAAAGAAATGCAGCCTATTCATCTGCAGAGCCTCCCTTAAATGAGTTTGCATGTTATGACCACAGGAGGGCACTATACACTAAGAACATACTCAAGCTGTCTAAACCATGGGTTATGTTAGTCCTAGTTAACATTTTAACCCCTCCAATTCTCAGCCAAACCCAAGAAGCTGGCAAAGGCCGACCTGAGGTCATCACTGGTTAGCACAGGGCCATTTCCTGTGCCGAAATAACAAGAGCCATTCTCGTCTCCATGATAACGTAGACATATTGTATATGCTGTACAATAATCATTCTGAAAATACACACTGGAGGGAAACCAAGACAATGTCTGTTAGCACTGATGCTTAGAGCGACCGGACCCTTACAATGGCACGCACTCTGTGTTTGTGGTCAGTCTTTCGCACCGGAGGGTGGGAACCCCTGCGAAACGTTCATTCCCACACACTCGCAGACAAAATGCTGTCAAAAATGGCTTTTGTGAAAGTAAAGGGCATGTGTGAATGCTGAACAGAACATACAAACAGAAACGTTTCTAGAATGGCTACATGTTTGTGTTTTTTTTAAATGTACATTACATATTCCTGCTATAGCTCATATGTTTACAGTTACAGAACTTGATATTATCTGTCAGTACATTAGTTTGGGTCATACTGAAGTGAGAGTATTCTGTTACACATGGGCAATACTGACATAACTGTGCATGTACTGATTTTGTAATTATTGTATTTTTTATTACGTAATTTTTTTTCCATTTTAAAGTTTGGGGTCAGTACTATTTTTTATTTTTTTTTAAGAAATACTTTTTTTTTTCAGACAGATCACAGTTTCCACAAACTGTTTTTAACGTTGATAATAAATATATTTACAGACCAAAAACAGAATTGCTGGGCTCTTTTTGACTTGGGTTAGTAAGTAAGTTTTGCACTGAATTTGTCTTTAGATGTAAAACTGTAATTTGATATTTATAATCTTTAAAGGGGTGCTTTTCTTTGATGCTGCTAAAAAGAACATTATTTTGTGTATCTGGTGTAATGAAATGTGTTTATGTGGTTTAAGGTTCAAAAAACACATTATTTTCCACATACTGTACATTATTGTTTCTCCTCTATGCCCCGCCTTTTTGAAACGGTAGGTATGTGGGGGCGTGTTAGAACGAGCCGTTTTAGGTAGGCGTGGCTGACTCTTAACTTTTATAAAGAATATCTCTTTGGATTTGAGACTTTAGTCTTTGCAACTTTACAGATCTTCTTTATGCACCAAGAGCTTGTAACACTCCAAAGAGAAAGGAACAATTGAAATCGCATCATATGACCGCTTTAACATAAAACTCCTAATTCGGATCCTGGATGCTGATTGGTCAACATAGTGTTCCATTCATGTTATATTCATGATATAGCACAGCCTCTCAAATCTTATAGCTTAAAGAAACAACTTTTCATCACACATCTTGATTTTGAGCCAAATGTCAGATATTTGACATCATAAGGTCGTGCATGCAGACACATTGAGGTTTGTCTTGATTTCCAGCGCGAGCTGATTGGTGAATGAGAAAGGGTCGTTACGGGTGAAGCCCCTCCATCAGTGCTTCATCTAGAACATACAGTACAGCTCCTGCCAAAGCTGCGGTTTAGCTGTTGACCAGACCGGAGCTTAAATTCTGTTTGAAACCGGAATCCAGCAGCAGTACTGTATCCTGATGTGGTGCACAATGAAAGTTGAGACGCAGAGAAAGAGAGGTGGATGTGAGGGTTGGGGGAGGTGGAGGGTGGAGGGTGGGCGCACATGCGCTCCAAGCTGAAGAGTTCAATGACAGTTTCTCAAAGCCCAGGCAGAAAGCTCAAGAAGACTCCAGCGCCAAACAAAGAGTCCCAACTTGGCTGGTGTTCATTAACGATAGAGCGCCCACAATAGAGGCGAGTGTGAGATGGTCCCAGGCCCCAGGACTGTACTGACCCGCCGTTGATTGATTGTGCCGGCCCGGGCTCACCTGCAGCCCCTACACACGCACACACGTGCGCGCATGTCCTGACAGCCTGCAGAGAGACCTGTCAGTGTCAGAGAACAATATCCTGCACTGTGCAGCTTGCAACTGAGCACGCTCATAAATCACCACGGTGACAGAGACACCGCCCTCACTGTCCGCACTCCATGACACGCACACATGCATGCAACCAAACACACACACACTCTCTGTCAGAAAACCTCAAGCTGTGCAACTACATGAAAGGGGTGTTTTTGAAAGGTTACATTGTGGCACCTGACTTGGGCCGGCAAAGAGAAATATTCTACTTATTAACCATGACCTCTCAGAACAACTGTGTTATTTATGTAATAATTATGAAACGGATTTGAAGCATCCTGGTCCTGGGTGCTGATTGGTTAACACAGCACTCATAACCTTTCATCAAAATGTAATTATTTGCCTCTGAAACCAACCACACTCTTTTTAAATTGAAGTCACCAATCACACTTGCTTTTTTCTACTCCCGTCACCAGATTCAGATTTTTACATTTGACGTCAACCAGCAATTTATTGCACAATAACATAAAATCCTTAAAATCTAACATGGAAATTATTTATTATTTAAGCCAATAATTCACTATGCAACGCATATAATAGTTGGTACAAACCATCATCAATGCAATTGTATTTCTTATTAATGGGTCATGCTTTCTTTTGCATAGTTTTGCTTTGCACATTGTTGAAGATGAAAGCTTCTACCATGACAAAGATGAATTTGTGGCAAAACACCATATAGAGTTTGGAAGGATGGTGTTTGATGTCAACAGAAAGGTTATGGGATTTTCAGTTACACTGATTTTAAGGTGTCCTTGTCATACATGCTCTTACTATAGTATTAATAGTAAATTATGCATAATTACAAGCAACTAACTCTAAACCTGTAAGTACATGTTTTTAATTAATATCACTCCGTACTTGTTTGTGCAAATACACTGTAGCCAGGACACCTCAAAATAAAATGTAACCAGATTTTCAACTGTATTTTAAAGGTTGATAAGCCTAATTTTCTATGCTAAGTATACACAATTATGTGATTAGCAGCATTTAGCATTGTTTTTCCCCTACTATCTGTGACAGTATCAGACAGACCTGCTAGTTAAGAGTCACTAGTATTTAGACACTTTTTCCAATTCAAACAATTCCCAACAATCCCAAGAAAGCCCCGCCTAGATTTAAACACATCCCATCTTCATCCCATTACAGATTGCATTTCATGTTGTTTCAACATTTCATGTCTACTTTATATTAAACTTTCAATGACCATTTTAACAGATTCATCGTTTTCCATTATTTTCTAGCTGCTCAATCTCATAAAGCCTTGCAATTATTCAGCTTTATACAAGAAACAAAGACCTCCAGCAGGATAGCAGGAAACAGACACCCCTCCACAGGTGAATATATGACCCCTAAACATCCCCACATGAAGTGGACATGAGACCTGTGGCCCTGTCCTCCTCTCAAATGCACTTTCATCTTTTTTTCTTTAAGAAAGACAAAGTTCAGCTGCAGCTTCCTCTACATCTATCTCCTTCTTTCTCCTCGACATCCTCCAAAATATACTTTTCCATTATGCATTTACATTAAACTTTCAAAACATATAGTTCTAATGCTAAATTCTGATTAAGTGAGCTACGTTTGAATTTTCTACAATGACTGACAGCTGTAAATAGTGCACAGTTAAGGTAATGAGTATTAATTACAAATTTTCCTTCAGATTAGATTGAAATTAGAATTAAACAGATATATGTATTTTTAATATTATAAATATATTTAATATAATATTATGTCACATAAATATAATATTATAAATATTACATAAACACTGTTCAAAACTTGGGGGTCAGTAAGAATTTTTACTGTTTTTGAAAGAAGTGTCTTATGCTCATAAGGCTGCATTTATTTGTTAAAAAATACAGCAAAATAGTTATATTGTAAAATATTATTACAATGTAATAGCTGTTTACTATGTTTTATAATTTAATTTATTCCTGGGATGCAAAGCTGAATTTTCAGCATCATTACTCTAGTCTTCAGGGTCACATGATCTTTCAGAAATCATTCTAATATGAAACACTTATTAATATCAATGTTGAAAAACGTTGTGCTGCTTAGTATTTTTGTGGAAACCATGTGTCCTTGCTGAATAAAAGTAATACTGATGCTAAAACTTTTGAAAGGTGGTGTGAATACACACATTTTTAGCTATGCATTTTTACTGTACTATGTGTATATACACATATCACATGATCTTTCAGAAATCATTCTAATATGAAACACTTATTAATATCAATGTTGAAAAACGTTGTGCTGCTTAGTATTTTTGTGGAAACCATGTGTCCTTGCTGAAGAAAAGTAATACTGATGCTAAACTTTTGAAAGGTGGTGTGAATACACACATTTTTAGCTATGCATTTTTACTGTACTATGTGTATATACACATACATTTACAGTTTGACTATTTTTAAATGCATTTATTAAATAAATGTATTAAATTGGAAGGTACACAGACCCTCCCTGGATCAGGACGTCGCTCCAAACTGGATGAAAGAGCCAAGAAGAAACTGGTCAGAGAGGCGACCAAGAGGCCGACAGCAACTCTGAAGCAGCTGCAGGAATTTAGTGTGCATGTGACAATAATATCACAAATTCTCCACAAATCTGGCTTGTATGGGAGGGTTGCAAGAAGAAAACTTCTCAAGAAAGGCCACATGCAGTCACGACTGAGCTTTGCCAAAGCGCACTTTGAAGATTCTGAGGCACATGAGACTAAAATTGA